CCTCTCGTATGCAGTGCCGGCCTTCATAGGTGCTCGTGAACAGTACTTGCCCTAACAATATGTTAAGGCTATAGGGGGTGATCTGTGTCTTTGTATGTACAGTGAGGAAAAAAAGTATTTGATCCCCTGCTGATTTTGTACGTTTGCCCACTGACAAAGAAATGATCAGTCTATAATATTAATGGTAGGTTTATTTGAAGTGAGAGACAGAATAACAAAAAAAAAATCCAGAAAAACGCATGTCAAAAATGTTATAAATTGATTTGCATTTTAATGAGGGAAACAAGTATTTGACCCCTCTGCAAAACATGACTTAGTACTTGGTGGCAAAACCCTTGTTGGCAATCACAGAGATCAGACGTTTCTTGTAGTTGGCCATCAGGTTTCCACACATCTCAGGAGGGATTTTGTCCCACTCCTCTTTGCAGATCTTCTCCAAGTCACTAAGGTTTCGAGGCTGATGTTTGGCAACTCGAACCTTCAGCTCCCTCCACAGATTTTCTATGGGATCAAGGACTGGAGACTGGCTAGGCCACTCCAGGACCTTAATGTCCTTCTTCCTGAGCCACTCCTTTGTTGCCTTGGCCGGTTTTTTGGGTCATTGTCATGCTGGAATACCCATCCACGACCCATTTTCAATGCCCTGGCTGAGGGAAGGAGGTTCTCACCCAAGATTTGACGGTACATGGCCCAGTCCATCGTCCCTTTGATGCGGTGAAGCTGTCCTGTCCCCTTAGCAGAAAAACACCCCAAAGCATAATGTTTCCACCTCCATGTTTGACGGTGGGGATGGTGTTCTTGGGGTCATAGGCAGCATTCCTCCTCCTCCAAACACGGCGAGTTGAGTTGATGCCAAAGAGCTCCATTTTGGTCTCATCTGACCACAACACTTTCACCCAGTTGTCCTCTGAATCATTCAGATGTTCATTGGCAAACTTCAGACGGGCATGTATATGTGCTTTCTTGAGCAGGGGGACCTTGCGGGCGCTGCAGGATTTCAGTCCTTCACGGCGTAGTGTGTTACCAACTGTTTTCTTGGTGACTATGGTCCCAGCTGCCTTGAGATCATTGACAAGATCCTCCCGTGTAGTTCTGGGCTGATTCCTCACCGTTCTCATGATCATTGCAACTCCACGAGGTGAGATCTTGCATGGAGCCCCAGGCTGAGGGAGATTGACAGTTCTTTAATGTTTCTTCCATTTGCGAAAATTCGCACCAACTGTTGTCACCTTCTCACCAAGCTGCTTGGCTATGGTCTAGTAGCCCATTCCAGCCTTGTGCAGGTCTACAATCTTGTCCCTTGGCCATGGTGGAGAGTTTGGAATCTGTTTGATTGATTGCTTCTGTGAACAGGTGTCTTTTATACAGGTAACAAGCTGAGATTAGGAGCACTCCCTTTAAGAGTGTGCTCCTAATCTCAGCTCGTTACCTGTATAAAAGCCACTTGGGAGCCAGAAATCTTTTTGATTGAGAGGCGGTCAAATACTTATTTCCCTCATTAAAATGCAAATCAATTTATAACATTTTTGACATGCGTTTATCTGGATTTTGTTGTTGTTATTCTGTCTCTCACTGTTAAAATAAACCTACCATTAAAATTATAGACTGATCATTTCTTTGTCAGTGGGCAAACGTACAAAATCAGCAGGGGATCAAATACTTTTTTCCCTCACTGTATGTGTAGTGTAATATCGCCGGCTGGTGACCAGCAGCGGCAACTGCAGTGTACAAACAGTACACACGCCGGTGAGCATATACACGGTGTGTATGTCGGCAGGGCGGAGGAACTGGGACAAGAGTCATGAGGGGCCCATTTGGGAGCCCCTGGAACCTGCTAGTGGGTTCGGTTTCCCAAACGGGGCTCTCCATGTGCTGCTAGACAGCCTGTCAACTGTCTCAGTCAGCGCTGCCGATGCTACACGGCTAGTGTTGTGTCATAGGCTAGCGAGTACAGAGTGCGTGCAGGCGAGATCGTGTGTGGTAATAACAGGTGCCTCTACAAATATCGTCTCCGAAGTCACTGCACTACATATGTGTCAATTGACATCCAGGACACCCTTGCAATTATATTTTCCATCTCAAGGGATTTGCCAGTTAAAATATAGAAACCTGTAATGGCCTTCTCCTGTGATCACATCCCAACAGGGTGTTGTCTGTGTCAATCCGGAGCGAACCTGGGCGAGATGAGGCGGGCGAGGTCCGCCAGGTCGTCCAGCTGTGACGCTCGCTCCTCCTGCCGAGCCGCAGCCCCCGCCGAGCCGTGGGTCTTTACCGTTCGCGCAACTTTATGCAGGCACGCTTTGGACGCCTTTATGAGGCCCAGGCAGGGGGCCAGCAGCTGCCCACCACAAATGGCAGCGCAAAGCAAACAGTGCCCCAGCGTCGTCATGGAGCACACAGAGGTGCTGCGGTGAGATCCTCAGGACACCCATCAGTCAGTACTCATCGTAAGCAAGTGAGAGATAAGACAATGAGTAACTGCCACGGGAAGAACGAATTGACAACATTGACTTGGCCAACAATGGAGTTTGACAATAATCCATCACTCATTTTAGTGCGGGGACTGACTGAGAAACATTTTGGGCAAACGTGTCTACTTGTTGGACACTCGGAATGCAAATTAGCAGTAAATGCAACTTAACCAAAATACTCGCAAGTTAAGTTTTTACTCTTTATTTGTACCTTCAATAATCACGGGCCGAGATCACCAAACATGTTACACTTGAAAAACGATTTTAAGCTCAAGTAGCTTCCTGGAATTTAAACCCAGGATCTCAGCAGTGCTGGCTTTAAAGGTTCACCACCAGCACAGTAATGGCACATGCATAACCAAACTGTTGTTGACAATATTCCCTCTGACCCCTGTCCCCAGGATATGGCCCAAAGTACCTGGCGGTCGCGCTCGGACCAATAGGTGTCCTGGTTCTCCCGGAACCCCACGATGTCATCTGCGAGCACGTCCCCAAAAGGGTCACTGTTGCCTGCGTCTTGAGCCTGAAAAACACCAAAGCCTGCTCACATCCACCAGTCACAGTGGTGGTGGCCCACCTCTAAACCACTGCTTTGGAAGCCCGGACGGTGGATCACAAAGATTTAATCATAGGCAGATACTAGTCCACTGGGTTGTGAAGGGGGCTATGAAATGGACAGTTTTTTTAGTATGATTCCAAAATGCTCGTTATTCTTCAGATACTCTGGATCCCTTCCACGCTCATTAAACAGCGTTAGTACAAACAGCACAACGTTTCACTGTCTCAAAAAGTGCCTCCAGTCTCAATAAGGCTTTCCTAAAGGGCATTGTCATAATTAGAAGACTCAGCTTTCCTTGCAGCTGAAAATCCCACAAATGTTTTTGTTGACAAAAGGCATATGTTTTCCATAGTCTTCTGCTTTGTGCGTACACACTGGTGACATAGGATGCACAATACTTGGGTAAAGAAAAACAGAAGATGAAAAATTAAGTCTCCTTTAACAAGCTGTGGAGTGGTGACCGGGGGGGGGGGACTTAAAACCAGGTTATGTGGTTGGTTCAGATTATAAGAAGGGAACCCCTGGAAGTTGGGTGGCAACAGTTGTGATACAGTAGTCCTTCCGTTAAATGACATCAGTTAATGGTTTCTCGGTTAACGTTTCGCCTGCCATAGGACCTCATGGTTTTGACTGTTAACATTTAGATTAGCGGTATGTTTATGTTATGCACGCGGGCACCAATTTAGACCAATCCGAGTGCTCGTAAGTGGGCTGAGCATGCCTCAGCCAATCAGCGACGCCCATCTATAAGCGTTTACACCTCGACTGGCTTTGTCTACAGTATGTTTCTGTTTTGGCAGTGTAAGCAACTCTCTTGCACACTCAGTGATTTTTACTTAATTTTCAACTTATAAGTGAATTCGAAAAACAGTTATTCCAGTGAACAGTAGTTTTCGTGGTAGCGATTAAAAACGTTCACTGAGAGACTGTATTTGGGGGAAGGCAGCAATGGAGAGGTGTTGTAATGGCATCATAAGCATGTGAGAACCTCATCATGTTCACCTGAAGACAGGCAACAATGGAAGTGACTGGGACCGCCTTGGCCCAAGTGGGACCTACCTGCTCAATCTCCTCTAGCGCATCGCGCACAATCCCCAAAGCTGCCTGCATCACAGCCAGCACTGCCACCACATTATCTGTCAACAGCGAATATCAAGTCAGGTCACTTGAGCTTTTTCCAAATGAGAAACGAATGAAATGTTTACATCTTATACAATTCAGATGTTGTCATGCCATGGGCAGTGTATTTAAATGTTATTTATATTGCATTTAAAGTCATCGGTATTTTTAGAATAAAACAAGGGATCATTGTCCATGCCACAAGCCCCGTACCCCTTGGCAGACGAGAGATGTAGGTCGCAAGCCTCCCAGACGCCCGCTGTGCTTGTGAGCTGGCCCTGGGATAAACTAGAGGAACACAAGAACACATAACACTCACAAAGGTCACGGAGTTTGAACTAAAAATCCACTTGAATTTACATAACCAGATGACCAGGTTTGTTATAAAGAAAAAACACATCAAATAGCATTATACATGCCATTACTACAACCATTGATTACCATGTTAAATATAGTCTACAAATATAAATATTTCCGTCATTCACCGAGTAAAATCGGTTCAAATCCTATTACCTTTTCAAAAAATACCACCGAATATGGTTATTTACATAGGTATGTTTTTGCAATGTACTTAAAATGCATTAAACATAATGCACATGAGCTATGAGATCAGCACATTTGCATACTGTTTGGATCGTGATGTCATGGTATTTAATGCCCACTTTGCAGTTGAACATTTTGTCATGTTTGTGGCAGTGCCTCGCAATAATTTCTAGTGCTGTCTAAAGTTATTATGCGACTGAAAAGGACTTTTTTCACCTGGACCATCGACTTAAGTAGCCTTACTGGAAGGTAACTGGTGCTATATTAAAACCCTTTCCCAATCCGAGACTTCTGCAAGTGACAGGGTGGTTCACGTTCACTTCTGAATCTCAGAAAGCGCGTTAATTTTATTGAGTGAGGCATAGCGCCACTGTTTTTAAAGACATTGTACTCACTGCAGAGAACTGTAGTGACACGACCGCACTCTGTACTAGCTGGCGCCAAACTGTGCCACAGCCCCCACCCGCATGGCCTTGTGTGAGCCTCGGTACCGATAAAGTAATTTTATTTTAGTTTTTCTTCTGGTATCGTTTTGATGACGTACATGTGTAGTGGAGTAACGCGCGTGGGGGTTTGAAAACAGTGTGCACGGCGTGTGTGAGCTGCGGACAGTGAGGTCACACCAGGGCGAACAGGTGCAGAGAGGAGAGCAACCACAAAGGGGTGACCAATTAGGATGCATAGCGGTGATTGGCTGGCTGCAAATGCAGAGGCGGAGTAGGCGCCACGGAGGCGAGTGATAGCGGCGATAAGGGGGAGAACACGTGGGGGAGGCGTCGGGATGACGCTGAAGCAGAATGTGCGGGGAAACGGAAGCTGAGTTGGTTGGAGTGAAGAAAAGGGAGAAATCAAGAGCAGTTCGGGACCCCACTCTCCACACCTCGTCCTGTCCAGTGGTGTTGGCTGATCCCCCGCTGGATGCAAGGGCAAGGTTGTAGGAGGGTAAACAGGCTAGCAGTAGAGAGGCTAGCGGAATCCTAGTTGTGAGTATGAGAAGGCTAGCAGTAGAGAAGCTAGCAGAGTGTATAGTGAGAGGCTAGCAGTAGAGAAGCTAGCAGAGTGTATAGTGAGAGGCTAGCAGTAGAGAAGCTAGCAGAGTGTATAGTGAGAGGCTAGCAGTAGAGAAGCTATCAGAGTGTATAGTGAGAGGCTAGCAGTAGAGAAGCTAGCAGTAGGGAAGCTAGCAGAGTATATAGTAAGAGGCTAGCAGTAGAGAAGCTAGCAGAGTGTATAGTAAGAGCCTAGCAGTAGAGAAGCTAGCAGAGTGTATAGTAAGAGGCTAGCAGTAGAGAAGCTATCAGAGTGTATAGTGAGAGGCTAGCAGTGGAGGAGCTAGCAGAGTGTATAGTGAGAGGCTAGCAGTAGAGAAGCTAGCAAAGTGTATAGTGAGAGGCTAGCAGTAGAGGAGCTAGCAGAGTATATAGTGAGAGACTAGCAGTAGAGAAGCTAGCAGAGTGTATAGTGAGAGGCTAGCAGTGGAGGAGCTAGCAGAGTATATAGTGAGAGACTAGCAGTAGAGAAGCTAGCAGAGTGTATAGTGAGAGGCTAGCAGTGGAGGAGCTAGCAGAGTATATAGTGAGAGACTAGCAGTAGAGAAGCTAGCAGAGTGTATAGTGAGAGGCTAGCAGTGGAGGAGCTAGCAAAGTGTATAGTGAGAGGCTAGCAGTAGAGAAGCTAGCAAAGTGTATAGTGAGAGGCTAGCAGTAGAGGAGCTAGCAGAGTATATAGTGAGAGACTAGCAGTAGAGAAGCTAGCAGAGTGTATAGTGAGAGGCTAGCAGTAGAGAAGCTAGCAAAGTGTATAGTGAGAGGCTAGCAGTAGAGGAGCTAGCAGAGTATATAGTGAGAGACTAGCAGTAGAGAAGCTAGCAGAGTGTATAGTAAGAGCCTAGCAGTAGAGAAGCTAGCAGAGTGTATAGTAAGAGGCTAGCAGTAGAGAAGCTATCAGAGTGTATAGTGAGAGGCTAGCAGTGGAGGAGCTAGCAGAGTGTATAGTGAGAGGCTAGCAGTAGATAAGCTAGCAAAGTGTATAGTGAGAGGCTAGCAGTGGAGGAGCTAGCAGAGTGTATAGTGAGAGGCTAGCAGTGGAGGAGCTAGCAGAGTGCAACATAGCAGGCTAGCGGAGCGAGAGAGCGCGAGCGGAGCATGGCGGACAAGCAGTACAAGAGGAGGAGTTGCGACAGAGATGCGTGGTGTTGAACGCGAGGAGTTCTGTACGAATAAAGTGACACAGGAGGAAAAAAAATAATTTGTCCGTGTGAAATAACACCACTACACATGTATGTCATCAGAATGGAATCAGGAGAAAAGCTTATGACGTACACGTACATCATCAAAACAGGAAAGGGTGAATGATAATTGCCAAAAATTATATAAAGGGGTGTGGTGCCCACACAGTGGCCTTATAGGAGCATGGTGACCTACCTCTGGACCGGCGAGCACTTTATGGATTCTACCAGATGCAGGACTCCGCCCAGGACTGTCATAGTTGCCTCCTTTGTGCTTTTCCTCAGCACCAGTCCTGCGTGGGAAAATAACGAGCGCTGCTGAGTTCCTATCATTTAAAGCTGGGATCTCCCAGATATTAAATCAAGTTCCTTAAGATAGAGGTTTAGTGGTGGTACAGTGATTATCGCATTGCACCCTGAAGCCGGTGATCTGAATTTTACTCTTGGCCATGGCGATCACTGGAAATTGATATCTGAAATGGGCATGGGATTCCAGAGCACCAACCTGCACTGAGCAGCGTGGTGGCACAAAGTCTAACAACTCCCACGACCAAGACGACATATCGAGGCCTTCATCGAGGAGTGTCAGACTTTTTTTTTTAAACACAGCTGGGAAGAACCAAGTGAAATGTTACAGACTGGGCATCTCACTTTTTTTGACCCAGAAATGCCACAATTTGGTTAGAGAATAGTCCGGATAAAGTTGTGTCAGGTTGGCCCAAAAATTGCGCCACCACTTCACTGATTGCCCAAACAGAGTCAGCACCCTTCCCAGTTGTTGTGGAAACATGGCAAACAGCCTTACTGGGCTCTGTATTGTGATGCCATGTGGGTGAGTGTAGTTGGACACACTCAGCAGTCACACCGTAAGTCTTGGGCAGCGTGTAGAAGACCGTCACAGTGGCCAGCACCGCGTTCTCCATCCCCTCACCCAACTTCCTGCAATCCTGGCCAGACATGCACTCACTCAGGATCTTCTTTGCCACTTGGGCTAGCATCTTGCAAGAGATGAAACACCATTTTATGGCTTCAATCCGATACCATTAGCCTTCTTTATTACCCTTTGAAGATGTATATAAGTAGCCAAATATATGGAGATTAACTGGTAGATAAATTAGTCGGTAGGTAGGCATTATTGGTGGGCAGACAGAATGGACCTCCGATTAGCACGGTTGGCTATGTACATTGTGAAAAAAGTTCAACATACATACAAAGGGAGACTGGTACCATAGACAATGACCAAATATTATTGATAGGTTGGAATTATTTTATAAAGCACGTGTAAAAAGACCCTTTGGCATTTATTACTCGAGAAGGCCGTTCTTTTGACTCCATGGTCATGGAATAAAATAAACAGTCCTTGCATCCCTATCGGCAAATCATTTCCATTTGAAAGGAAATAATAAACCTCTTGAACAATTCAGGTGAATCAATGCCCCTTCAAAGTGACCTTCGTACATTTTTCCAAATTTACAACCAAGCCACACCAGGATTGCCAAGCCAGCCTGGCACAGCTCAGGAAGCACCAGGATGTTTTTCCACCGCAGATCCGAGCCGCGCCACTAACGTCACACAGAATGAAAGTGTGGCGCTGATGTACCGGCCGATGTAACAAATTAAAAAAATTACGCAATGTCTAACAACAATGATGAGGGGCCTGCCCTTGGTCTTGCTGGTGCCAAGCCAGATTGAGATGTCTCGAGGCGAGAGATTGACAGTTTAAGTTTTGGCTTGGAAAATAGTCAGTGGAAAACCACCTGTCCTATGAAGGCCCTGTGCTGGTGCGGCTCGGGTGTGCCAGTGTAAAGTTGTTGAATATTCCCCAGTGCCTCACCTGTGCTGAAGGCAAGGGAGGTCTGGAGAAGGCCAGGCTGAGCTTGGTGGACTCTTGGGAAACTGCCTTGTAGCAGTGCTCTGTGTGGACAGACACATAACCTTATAAGAGAGTGGGCCAGCCAATGTATCCCAGTAGCATGTGTTAAATCCTGAGAAAACTCTGGACTAGTTTAAATTTACCGAGTTTCTTCAGCAGATGTGGTCTGTTAAACAAAACAATGCAACTGGGTAACCCTATAATGACAATCCGGAGATTGTGAGTTAAAATAACAGTTGCACATTAACTCAACCCATAATGCCTTGGGGGTCAATAAATTGAGAAACGCTTTGTGGGAAATCAGCAGTGGTTATCCCCGCATGGGTATGTGTAATTAACACGAGTGGTTCGGGACTGTCAATGACCGTACGTCACCCTTCGATGTTGAGCAAGGGGACAATGTGACTTGCATTGTCGTATACCGTTTAAGCCATTAACACTCCACAAAATGACGCACCTAACTTTTTCCAGAACTCTGGCATGTCAAAGTCTTCACGAGGTGCGACAGAAGACTCTCCATCTGCATAATCGGAACACAAAGAACAGCATCACAATCAACAAGCACTGGAAAAGGCAACAGGGCATCAATGTAACGAGGCGAGTACTGCAAACGCTGCTCCCCGTGTTCAATTTATTGAGCACTGAGGCGCAATTGGCTATACACTAAACTACTGTATTTTTACTTTACCAGGTAAGACCCACTCTGCTACATCGGGGCCGTCCATAAATGACGTCACGCACCTGGGGAGGGGTCAGACATTTGTGACGATGTGTGACGAAGGGGGAGGGGCAGTTTGAGAAATGTGACGTCAAATCAAAATGTTTTATTTTTTTTGGGAGGGGGGGGGCAGAGCTTTGTGATGTCATATTTGAGGGGGGGGGGTCTGACTTTTTGTGACGTCGTGTGACGAAGGGGGGGGGGTCAAAAATCGTCCAAATTTGCGTGACGTCATTTATGTACGGCCCCATAGCTCCTTTTCAGAAGCGACCTGGCCACCAACGATAACGAAGTGGCGGCTTATCATCATGTGGAAATGTATAGCAGACACAAATACTCTTAAACGTGGTGTTGACTCTAAATGTGGGGGAAAAGGAAGCCCAGGAGAAAAAAAGTTTGAATTCCAAATATAATCTTTAACATGTAGGCTTTCGCAACCAATATTATCCATAGATCTTCTTTGGGTTCGGTTGCGTAAATATAATCTGGCTGTCGCCTGATGAAGCTGATTGTACTCGCATTGTGAGTGTTTTGGTTTACTCTCCAACACACCGGTGTGCTGAACTAGTAACGAGGTGGCATTTTTTGTTCACGTGACAAACCTTACTAATTGGTTGTATCAGTTGGTGGCCGGTTTAACGACACATTTATATTTACGTGATCTAATCAACAGGGCTCGGGATCGAACCACCGCGCCCTGCATGCCAGGCGAGGGAGTTAACATCTCGCCAGGTTCAAGGCAAAGCTCCCAAACTCACCGACGAGGCATGCCCACGTACATCTGCTAAGTCCCTCTTTGGGCACAAAAAGAGAGGATTTCTATTTATCGTGACAACTTGCGCGAGAAAGTCGCTCAACGGCAATCGATCCGCATACACCGCATCAGAAATCGATCCACGCATTCACCGTAACGAATCGATCCGCACGTTGCTACTAAGGAATCGATCCGTGTCGACAGAGCAGGCCTCCGACGATGGCCCGTTGCGAACAGGAGGCGAGTGGGGTGAGGGGTGGGCGCCTCAACCTTTCAGCTGCTCCAGCACGAGGGTGACGCTGTGCTTGAGGTTCTCCAGCGCCACGCTCACGTCCTGCTCGGCCATGGCGAAGCCGCCTCTGATGGCCGTTCACCGGCGCCGACGAATCCGCGAAGCGCCTCGCTCCGCCACCATCGGCGAGACGCGCGCCACGGGATGTGACGTCACGCGAGTGGGCGGGGCTCACGAGAGACGCCCCTGCACCGGAAGAGGCGCGTACAGTCAGATCCAGTGCAGTGCAGTGCACTAATACAAGCAGTGCACTAATACAAGCAGTGCACTAATACAAGCAGTGCACTAATACAAGCAGTGCACTAATACAAGCAGTGCACTAATACAAGCAGTGCACTAATACAAGCAGTGCACTAATACAAGCAGTGCACTAATACAAGCAGTGCACTAATACAAGCAGTGCACTAATACAAGCAGTGCACTAATACAAGCAGTGCACTAATACAAGCAGTGCACTAATACAAGCAGTGCACTAATACAAGCAGTGCACTAATACAAGCAGTGCACTAATACAAGCAGTGCACTAATACAAGCAGTGCACTAATACAAGCAGTGCACTAATACAAGCAGTGCACTAATACAAGCAGTGCAGTGCACTAATACAAGCAGTGCAGTGCACTAATACAAGCAGTGCAGTGCACTAATACAAGCAGTGCAGTGCACTAATACGAGCAGTGCAGTGCACTAATACGAGCAGTGCAGTGCACTAATACGAGCAGTGCAGTGCACTAATACGAGCAGTGCAGTGCACTAATACGAGCAGTGCAGTGCACTAATACGAGCAGTGCAGTGCACTAATACGAGCAGTGCAGTGCACTAATACGAGCAGTGCAGTGCACTAATACGAGCAGTGCAGTGCACTAATACGAGCAGTGCAGTGCACTAATACGAGCAGTGCAGTGCACTAATACGAGCAGTGCAGTGCACTAATACGAGCAGTGCAGTGCACTAATACGAGCAGTGCAGTGCACTAATACGAGCAGTGCAGTGCACTAATACGAGCAGTGCAGTGCACTAATACAAGCAGTGCAGTGCACTAATACAAGCAGTGCAGTGCACTAATACAAGCAGTGCAGTGCACTAATACAAGCAGTGCAGTGCACTAATACAAGCAGTGCAGTGCACTAATACAAGCAGTGCAGTGCACTAATACAAGCAGTGCAGTGCACTAATACAAGCAGTGCAGTGCACTAATACAAGCAGTGCAGTGCACTAATTCAAGCAGTGCAGTGCACTAATACAAGCAGTGCAGTGCACTAATACAAGCAGTGCAGTGCACTAATACAAGCAGTGCAGTGCACTAATACAAGCAGTGCAGTGTAGTGCACTAATACAAGCCAGTGTAGTGTAGTGCACTAATACAAGCAGTGCAGTGTAGTGCACTAATACAAGCAGTGTAGTGTAGTGCACTAATACAAGCAGTGCAGTGTAGTGCACTAATACAAGCAGTGCAGTGGAGTGCACTAATACAAGTAGTGCAGTGTAGTGCACTAATACAAGCCAGTGCAGTGCAGTGCACTAATACAAGCCAGTGTAGTGTAGTGCACTAATACAAGCAGTGCAGTGGAGTGCACTAATACAAGCAGTGCAGTGGAGTGCACTAATACAAACAGTGCAGTGTAGTGCACTAATACAAGCCAGTGTAGTGTAGTGCACTAATACAAGCCAGTGTAGTGTAGTGCACTAATACAAGCAGTGCAGTGTAGTGCACTAATACAAGCAGTGTAGTGTAGTGCACTAATACAAGCAGTGCAGTGTAGTGCACTAATACAAGCAGTGCAGTGGAGTGCACTAATACAAGTAGTGCAGTGTAGTGCACTAATACAAGCAGTGCAGTGGAGTGCACTAATACAAGCAGTGCAGTGGAGTGCACTAATACAAACAGTGCAGTGTAGTGCACTAATACAAGCCAGTGCAGTGTAGTGCACTAATACAAGCCAGTGCAGTGTAGTGCACTAATACAAGCAGTGCAGTGTAGTTCACTAATACAAGCAGTGTAGTGCACTAATACAAGCCAGTGTAGTGCACTAATACAAGCCAGTGCAGTGTAGTGCACTAATACAAGCAGTGCAGTGTAGTTCACTAATACAAGCAGTGTAGTGCACTAATACAAGCCAGTGTAGTGGAGTGTAATCCAATACAAGCCGCACCTCCAATTCGCACGGTTGGCTACGTACGGTGCGAAAGAAGTTCAACATACATAGTGCAAGTGCATTCGTACTGTACAAGCCAATATCGTGTAGGCAGGTACATTCACATGTAAATCAAGTGTATAGTGCATTCACATGTAAACCAAGTGTATAGTGCATTCACATGTGAACCAAGTGTACAGTGCATTCACATGTAAACCACGTGTACAGTGCATTCACATGTGAACCACGTGTACAGTGCATTCACATGTGAACCAAGTGTACAGTGCATTCACATGTAAACCAAATGTACAGTGCATTCACATGTAAACCACGTGTACAGTGCATTCACATGTAAACCAAGTGTACAGTGCATTCACATGCAAACCAAGTGTACAGTGCATTCACATGTAAACCAAGTGTACAGTGCATTCACATGTAAACCATGTGTACAGTGCATTCACATGTAAACCAAGTGTATAGTGCATTCACATGTAAACCATGTGTACAGTGCATTCACATGTAAACCAAGTGTATAGTGCATTCACATGTAAACCAAGTGTACAGTGCATTCAGATGTAAACCATGTGTACAGTGCATTCACATGTAAACCAAGTGTATAGTGCATTCACATGTAAACCGAGTGTACAGTGCATTCACATGTAAACCAAGTGTACAGTGCATTCACATGTAAACCAAGTGTACAGTGCATTCACATGTGAACCAAGTGTACAGTGCATTCACATGTGAAACATGTGTATAGTGCATTCACATGTAAACCAAGTGTATAGTGCATTCACATGTAAACCAAGTGTACAGTGCATTCACATGTGAACAAAGTGTACAGTGCATTCACACATGTAAATCAAGTGTATAGTGCATTCACATGTAAACCAAGTGTATAGTGCATTCACATGTAAACCAAGTGTACAGTGCATTCACATGTAAACCAAGTGTACAGTGCATTCACATGTAAACCAAGTGTACAGTGCATTCACATGTGAACCAAGTGTACAGTGCATTCACATGTGAAACATGTGTATAGTGCATTCACATGTAAACCAAGTGTATAGTGCATTCACATGTAAACCAAGTGTACAGTGCATTCACATGTGAACCAAGTGTACAGTGCATTCACGTGTAAATCAAGTGTATAGTGCATTCACATGTAAATCAAGTGTATAGTGCATTCACATGTAAAACATGTGTATAGTGCATTCACATGTAAATCAAGTGTATAGTGCATTCACATGTAAACCAAGTGTACAGTGCATTCACATGTAAACCAAGTGTACAGTGCATTCACATGTAAATTAAGTGTATAGTGCATTCACATGTGAAACATGTGTATAGTGCATTCACATGTAAACCACGTGTATAGTGCATTTACATGTAAATCAAGTGTACAGTGCATTCACATGTAAATCAAGTGTATAGTGCATTCACATGTAAACCAAGTGTACAGTGCATTCACATGTAAACCAAGTGTACAGTGCATTCACATGTAAACCAAGTGTACAGTGCATTCACATGTAAATCAAGTGTATAGTGCATTCACATGTAAACCATGTGTACAGTGCATTCACATGTAAACCAAGTGTATAGTGCATTCACATGTAAATGAAGTGTATAGTGCATTCACATGTAAATCAAGTGTATAGTGCATTCACATGTAAACCATGTGTACAGTGCATTCACATGTAAACCAAGTGTACAGTGCATTCACATGTAAATCAAGTGTATAGTGCATTCACATGTAAACCATGTGTACAGTGCATTCACATGTAAACCAAGTGTATAGTGCATTCACATGTAAACCAAGTGTATAGTGCATTCACATGTAAACCAAGTGTACAGTGCATTCACATGTAAACCAAGTGTACAGTGCATTCACATGTAAACCAAGTGTACAGTGCATTCACATGTAAACCAAGTGTACAGTGCATTCACATGTAAACCAAGTGTACAGTGCATTCACATGTAAACCAAGTGTACAGTGCATTCACATGTAAACCAAGTGTACAGTGCATTCACATGTAAATCAAGTGTATAGTGCATTCACATGTGAAACATGTGTATAGTGCATTCACATGCTGTAGATTATAGAAACGTGTGGAGTGGAATGAACCTCTGCTGGGCGGTGTTGAGACGTTAACTCCTCGCCTGATGTACAGGAGGCCGCGGGTTCGAACCCAACCCTGACGTACCCTGCTCTTGTATATTTGGAGTCTGCGTGTCTCTCTCTCCGTGGTCGTGTGGATTTGTTCCCCTCCCCATTAAGAATCATCAACATCGCGAGTGTTTGTCCGCGATTCATCTCCCACGCGATGACGATCCACTGCGTCGAGATGTTCTCTCATCATTCACGTCGCTTCTGAGAACGCGCTCCGCTATAACGGAGCCCCGTGGGGTCTTACCTGGGGAAGCGGAATCGTGGTCAGAATGTTAGTCCACAGCAGCGGGGCTCTCCCTGGCGGCGGCGGTGGGGAGAGGAGCGCGACTCGTCTCGACGACGACGAATCGCGCCCACGGCGAGAGGCGTCGCCAGGAGCCGCTCCACGTGCCCCTCGCCCGGCTCCCTCGGCTCCCTCGCCCGGCCCACGATGGAGCAGCAGCAGCAGCGCGCAGCGGCAGCAGCCGACGGTGGTGGTGGCGGTGTCGGCAGCGGGTGCCTCCCCGCCCAGGAGGAGCTCTCGCAGAGGCACAAGCGGGAGAAGAGAGAGCTGCAGGGTAACGAGGCGGCGGTGGTTGTGGTGGTGGTGCTGCAGCTTTCGTCCGCACTTTCCCCGCGAGGCCTCTGCGTGAGCCCCGCGCCTTGCCTGCTCGCCGTGCCCGCGAGGCTCAATGGAGCCGGGGGAGGGAGGGGGGGGCTCGTTGAAGGCTTCGAGCGGCACCGCGGTGGTCTTGGCCAACTTGTGTGCAGGCACCTACACTGGAGTTGTCGTCGCTCTTTGTAGGTGACTGGAGTTGTTGCTACTCCGTGTAGGAGGAGTAGAGCCTTGAGACACGTGCAGACTGTCAAGCACGGCGCCGCGTTGACGCTCGCAGTGAACGCAGGACGCGTGGTGCACGCGAGGCGCGGGGCCGATTCTGGAATGACAACAGACGAAGTGTCCCGTCGTTGTGTGGGGAATTGGGGGAAACGTCCCTTTAATAACCAGTCTCTCCATGGGCAGCAACATCGATCATCATTATTATTATACTCCCACGTCTATGCTCCCCCGCCATCAACACGCACGATGATGAACCCGCATGGGGAGGCTCTCCTCTAGCAGTGGATTGACGAAAATAGTTTCATTTATGTGCCTGCAGCAACACGAGTAATTTATTTGCTACTGTACATGTATTTTATACATACAGTATGTTTAAGTACATTTTAGCCGCACATCACTTACGTTATATATATATATTGACTCAATTCTGTTACGATGACTTAATTTTTATTTGAGCATTTTTATTTCCTTGTTCACACATTTGTGCTCAAATGCCAAGCTTACGCTCCCCTAGTTAACGCCCCGTTACAGGCGCTGGAGCAGAGCCGTCCGCTCATCTCATCATCTCTCCGGAGTCGCTAAAATAAGTACCGTTCTACTTTGTGGGAACACAGCAGTTCTCATTATATGGAGAGACTGCCACCAGCCATAAGAATGTGGAATTAGTATCATTGGCTGAGGGCCACAGAGACGAGCTTGAGAGACACTTTGACCTGACCCCTGTACCAATGGAACCATTGACTATAACAAAACAGTATTAAAACCAATCTCCGTAGATCATTTGCACTGGAGAGACTTTGGAGGATGCAAGATGATGCAGGTGAGGATTTTTGCTGGAGTATCGCCTGGAATGTGCCCAAGCCTGTCAGATCTTGATCGCTACGCAGGGTTGAGCTTCAATAGTGCTTGAATGTATGTTGAACTTCTTTCGCACCGTACGTAGCCAACTGCGGAGGTTTAATGAGTGATCATAATGTATAAAACAGGTGTCATAGGATGCTATATAGCAGTTTCCAGGATATGAGGAGTGCATCCTGGGTGATTTGGTCGCAGGAAAGGAAATGTGAGAACATAGTATGTTATATATTGCTCGGGGAAATCTGGTTGCACCGTTCCTGGCTGTCGAGTAATTTGTTTTTCCACAGGGCGTGTCCAGGCAATGAAGAATGCGGTACCGAAGAACGACAAGAAAAGGCGCAAGCAGCTTGCGGATGAGGTCGCACAGACGGAGGCCGAGCTGGAGGCACGCCACGAACGCGAGAGACTCGTGCTCGCTGGGGAGCGCAGCGAGAGCCAAGCAGCCACGGTAATTAACCGTGGCCAGTAGTGCAGCTGTGACCGCACCACTATTTTCTACTGGGCAGGCACGGTGCCGCGATGTTTTTGCTCCACGATGCCGGGAGTTTCTGTAGGAACCGAAAGAAGCGACCCAGCACGTGGAGTGACATGTAAAATAATCGTGTTGTAAAAGCACGTGGTATAAGCCCCCCGAAAACACATCGGAGAACTATGCAGCACACCTGCAAAGCCCACACATTGATTTACAGGTGTGCACTGCACGCGTTTCCCCATTTAGGGCTCCTTGTTCTCTTACCTTGCCTCCATGCCCAGGCTGAAACAAATTAGCATTCCTATCACTCCTGATCTTCTGACTGTGCTGAGTGTGGAGCAGGTGGGGAGCGTGTTGGATGCGCTGGCCAGTGTGGAACTGACTTCGGTTGCAGAAGATGCAGGGAAGACGGAGACGCAGCTGCGTGTGAGCAAGGCCCAGAAGCGACGGGTGAGACGAGTGTGTTGCGATCATAGCCTTCCCACACTCACCTGATAAGTTTCAATCTCACCGTTAATGTATGTTATGTATTGTTTACACACGGGTCTCAAAGCACTTCATGCCCAAATAATCACTCTACGCTACCACACCCTTCTAATTCAAGTCCTGTTTAAATTATTATTCTTAGACATGGATTTTATTTCCATCAAACTGTTTTAATTTAGCTATCCAAATCATGTTATTGTACATGTACATATATGGTTTCATTCTTAAGGACATCTCATTATCTCCAGGTGATTTGCTCGTTAGTTTCGATGTAGTATCTTTGTTTACCAAAGTTCCTGTGCATGACACCATTGCAATCATTGAAGATTTGGTCCAACAAGGACTGAATGCTGATGTACCGGCCCTTGTTAGACACTGCCTCACCAACACTTCACCTGGAATGGAACATTCTACAAACAAGTTGAAGGTACCCCAATGGGTTCTCCCTTATCTCCAGTTGTAGCCAATGTTTTCATGGAAAAATTTGAGACAGATGCCATCCAGGCATCCACTCTACGTCCGTCCTTGTGGAAGAGGTACGTAGATGACACGTTCATCATCTGGCCACATGGCCTACCAGCTCTGAACCAATTCCTCAACCACATCAATTCCTAACACCCAGCCATCAAATTCACCATGGCGGTGGAAAAGGATGGCAAGTTACCATTCTTGGATGTTTTAATCGAAAAGAGACCAGATGGCTCAATAGGACACTGTCTATAGGCAAGCCACCCATACGGATGCCTAACTAAAACCTGACTCCCACCACCATCCATTCCAGAATAATTCCCTCATCAAAACTCTGCACCATAGAGCTCGTATTTCCGACCATCACCACCTAGCCAGTGAACTGGAGCATGTACACCAAGCCCTTAAGATTAATGGATATTCAGACTATACAGTCCGTAAGGCTATCATGCCAACCGTTGGGAAAGAACCATCTGAGGACCCAATCAAAACCATCACCTACATAGCAGGGGTCACCAAAACGATTCCCAAAATCATGAGCAAACACAAGATCCAGGTTCGATTTAACACAATACATAAAATTTGTGATCTGATCCCATCTGTGAAGAATGTGATCCCTGACATGCAATACTCCGGTGTCTACAAACTAAGCTGTGCCTGCGGCAGTAGTTACATTGGGGAAATAAAGCGACATGTCTCGGATCGTGTTCGTGAACATCAGGCAGATTTTAAACACGGTGGGCTCACACGAAATTGATTTCTCCAAGACGAAGGTACTCTGCAAACCCACTGGCTATCAACAAAGATTCGTTCATGAAGCCATTTAGATATATAGACAGACACAATTTGAAGCGAGAAGATGAGTACAAACTGAGCAATCATTGGAAGGACGTTATTAACAAGTTTAAGTTATAACTGGCTGTGATGTTTCCATCTTACCTTCCGCTGTTGGCAGTTATTTTCGACTCTCTGATTTTACATTAACAGGTTCTCTCTCACTTTGACATCACTAGCCCCGCCCACTTCGTTAATGACCCTTGGGCTACACTTATTTCAAACCTTTAAAAACAGCCTGCCTCAGCAGCTTTCCCCCTCTTTTTTCTCCTGATGACGATTGCTTGTGTTGCGATCGAAACGTTGTGTTATTTTTATTATTTTTTATTCACTTTATTTTTTTCCTTTTTATTTTATTGTTCTATCTACGTGACTTTACCGAATGATCCAAATAATATGAATTCCTGCAGTCACGAAAGCTTTAAGTCAAGATATATGGTTATGTTTGTCAATCCATTGCTGGATATGGGCCTCCCCATGACCATACGGATCATATACAGTGAGGGAAAAAAGTATTTGATCCCCTGCTGATTTTGTACGTTTGCCCACTGACAAAGAAATGATCAGTCTATAATTCTAATGGTAGGTTTATTTGAACAGTGAGAGACAGAATAACAACAACAAAATCTAGAAAAACGCATGTCAAAAAATTTATAAATTGATTTGCATTTTAATGAGGGAAATAAGTATTTTACCCCTCTGAAAAACATGACTTAGTACTTGGTGGCAAAACCCTTGTTGGCAATCACAGAGGTTAGACGTTTCTTGTAGTTGGCCACCAGGTTTGCACACGTCTCAGGAGGGATTTTGTCCCACTCCTCTTTGCAGAACTTCTCCAAGTCATTAAGATTTCGAGGCTGACGTTTGGCAACTCGAACCTTCAGCTCCCTCCACAGATTTTCTATGGGATTAAGGTCTGGAGACTGGCTAGGCCACTCCAGGACCTTAATGTGCTTATTCTTGAGCCACTCCTTTTGTTGCCTTGGCCGTGTGTTTTGGGTCATTGTCATGCTGGAATACCCATCCACGACCCATTTTCAATGCCCTGGCTGAGGGAAGGAGGTTCTCATCCAAGATTTGGCGGTACATGGCCCGTCCATCGTCCCTTTAATGCGGTGAAGTTGTCCTGTCCCCTTAGCAAAAAAACACCCCCAAAGCATAATGTTTCCACCTCCATGTTTGACGGTAGGGGTGGGGCTCTTGGGTTCATAGGCAGCATTCCTCCTCCTCCAAACACGGCGAGTTGAGTTGATGCCAAAGAGCTCCATTTTGGTCTCATCTGACCACAACACTTTCACCCAGTCCTCTGAATCATTCAGATGTTTATTGGCAAACTTCAGACGGGCATGTATATGTGCTTTCTTGAGGAGGGGGACCTTGCGGGCGCTGCAGGATTTCAGTCCTTCATGGCGTAGTGTGTTACCAAATGTTTTCTTGGTGACTATGGTCCCAGCTGCCTTGAGATCATTGACAAGATCCTCCCGTGTAGTTCTGGGCTGATTCCTCACCGTTCTCATGATCATTGCAACTCCACGAGGTGAGATCTTCCATGGAGCCCCAGGCCGAGGGAGATTGACAGCTCTTTTGTGTTCTTCCATTTGCGAATAATCGCACCAACTGTTGTCACCTTCTCACCAAGCTGCTTGGCGATGGTCTTGTAGCCCATTCCAGCCTTGTGTAGGTCTACAATCTTGTCCCTGACATCCTTGGAGAGCTCTTTGGTCTTGGCTATGGTGGAGAGTTTGAAATCTGATTGATTGATTGCTTTTGTGAACAGGTGTCTTTTATAGAGGTAACAAGCTGAGATTAGGAGCACTCCCTTTAAGAGTGTGCTCCTAATCTCAGCTCGTTACCTGTATAAAAGACACCTGGGAGCCAGAAATCTTTCTGATTGAGAGGGGGTCAAATACACATTTCCCTCATTAAAATGCGAATCAATTTATAACATTTTTGACATGCGTTTTTCTGGATTTTGTTGTTGTTATTCAGCCTCTCACTGTTCAAATAAACCTACCATTAATATTATAGACTGATCATTTCTTTGTCAGTGGCCAAACGTACAAAATCAGCAGGGGATCAAATACTTTTTTCCCTCACTGTAGGTTATTTGACCATACTTCCTTGGTCAGTGTAGGTTGGCAGAGGTGGGCAGCGTTCACAAACACTTTGGAACACAGGACAATACAACAATGGATGATACTGCACTGCCCTCTCGTAACAACCAAGTCCCACAGCAGACTACAATACCTGCCTGTGGTTACTCATTCAAGCAGTATCCTGGCTCAACCCTGCTTAAGAGTTTGGACGCATGCTGGGTGATTTGGTCATAATGTCATCAGGCAAATAATTTTGCATTCAGGACTCTTGCAGGCAGCGGTGCATCACCCTGTGTTAGGGAATGGCCTGAGATGATAACACCACAGAATCACCTCTGAAATGTCTTCAATAGGCCTCTTATCCACACGAGATGACACACTCGCATGCCCTGTAAAGAGTGTTAAATGCCCAGCAAATCAGTCTTGATCAGGGCCCGAAGAGTCCATGTATTTTACAAAAGCACTGCGGGTAGGTTATTATGGCTGATGCCATCGCTTCTTTCGTGTCCCTGCCGCCCCCCGCTCAGGACAAGAAGGCTGCGAGCGAGAGGGAGCGCGAGGCTCGTATCGCGACGGCCGAGTTGAACGAGCTGACTCACGGCGCGCGTCACCTCGAGGGCCGCCGTGTGGCCGACTTGCTGGCCGCCCGTGGCCTGCACGCCCGGCCCGTGCCGCCCGATGGCCACTGCATGTACGCAGCCGTGCGGCACCAGCTGGAGGCACGGGCGGGCCCCGCGCTGTCCGTCGCCGAGTTGAGGGCGTGTGCCGCGAGCTACATACGGCAGCACCGCGACGAATTTGCACCATTCCTCACTCAGGCTGGCACGGGCGAGGCGTACACAGATGGTACGTGTGTGCGTGTGTCTGTCGAGCGGCATTATATATTCATAAGGTGCGTCATGCTTTGCGGAAGCTACCTGGTCTTTCATTCCACACAAAGCTCCGGGTCTTCTCGGCCAAAGTTTTGCCCTGGATTGTATGAGGAGCTCACAACTCCTTGAAAGATCTAGACACAATCCCATCCGTGAGCTCCTCTGGCAAGCAAGGCTGCGCTGGCTGGGTCATGTAGCCCGCATGCCCAGCCACCGCATGCCTAAACAGCTTCTGTTTGGCCGGATATATGGGGCTAAACGGGCATGACACGGGCTCGAGAAGAGATGGACTGATATGATACAGAAGGATGTGGAGCTGATTAGACTTCCTGATGACTGGTATCAGCAGTGTCAAGAGCGGCTTCTGTCAAGGAGATTCATAAAGGTTACTGCTGGGGAGTTGGAGGCAGTCACCCTCCAGCAATAATGGAGGGCAGAAGAACGACGCTCACAACAACGAGCAGAGCGCCAGGCGGCTAAAATGGAGAAAGTTCACAGAGTGGGAAACACAGTTGGTGCATCTGCGAGTCATCTCATTCACTCAACCCATGGCACCTGGGTCTGCTCCGTGACCTTCTGCCAGCGGGCCTTCAACTCTTCATGTGGCCTCAAAGTGCACCTAACATGGCACAAGCGCCGTAGTGAAATCACCACCACGGTCGTATTTAATGAGTAATAATAATAATAATAGTACAATTTGTAACGCGCGCAAATTTGCAGACGTAGTGGCCGCAACTCAGAGGCGCGGAGCCAAGCTCAGAGTCGCTCAAAAGCATGATTGTAGAGTTGAGTTTTTAAGTGTCTCTTGAAGGAGGCGATTGAGGTGATGCTGCGAATGTGCAGAGGGATATCGTTCCAGACTGTTGGGGCTGCCACCGAGAAGCGGCGTGTAGACATGACCATCCTGGATCTTGGTATCGAGAGGAGGTCGTGAGTCGCGCTGCGCAGGCATCTGCCGTGTGCTGAGCTGCAAGTTGTCAATAATGAAGAAAGATACGGCGGGCAGGCGGATATGAAGGCATTGTGGCAGAGGCAGGCGGTCTTGTATGTGACCCTACTGGTGATGGGGAGCCAGTTGAGAGCGCGGAGACGAGCTAGTGAGTCGAGGCGGGGATGAGTGTGGGCAATGACGACGCGTGCTAGGTTATTTTGTAGTCTTTGAAGTTTCTTTAGGTTGCCAGCGGAGGTCCGGACAAGGACGGAGTTACAATAGTCAAGGCGAGACCCAACTATGCAACATGCCAAAGTGTTGGCAATTTCAGTAGAGATGAGAGGACGTATGTGTCTAAGAGCCTTCAGGTGAAAGTTACATGAGCTGATGATATGGTTGGTTTGATGGTCGAAGGATAAAGTTGAATCTAGGATGACACCGAGGTAGCTGAAGTGGTCGGTGAACTTGATGCTGTGACCGAAGATGTGTATGTGTGTGGGGAGTGCTGCTGAATTGAGACGTTGCTTGGTACCTAACATGATGGCCACTGACTTTTTCGGATTAAGGGCTCGGTTGTGTGCAGTGAACCATTGTTGCACGGCGGTGGTACATTCCGAAAGCCTCTCGAATCCAGATGCATTGCTAGAATCGATGGCGGTGAATAGAATCGTGTCATCCGCGTATGAGTGATGCTGAACACCGAAGCTTGCAATGAGCCGGCCGATCGGGGAAGTGTAGGCTGTGAAGAGCAGGGGACCTAGAACAGAGCCCTGGGGAACCCTGCATAATGCTGTTGTTTCAGGCGATGTGGACATGCCCACCCTGACTGAGGATTGCCGGTCAGAAAGGTACGAAGCTAACCACTTGAGTGCTGAGCCGCATATGCCGAAGTCGGATTTCAGGAGGGAAGTAAGGAGCGAATGGTTGATGGTGTCGAAGGCTGACGAAATGTCCAGACTTACAAGTGCAACAGTTGAGCCGGAATCAATGATCGTTAAAATGTCATCAAGCACTCTAGTGAGTGCTGTTTCTGTGGAATAGTTTTGACGGTAAGCTGACTGGAAGTAGCAGTAGTTTGCGGAGAAGGTGACGTGTGGTTGTAGCTGGGCGAGGGCTAGTCGTTCAAGGAGTTTAGAGAGGTTCGAGAGGTTAGTGATGGGACGATAACTAGATAGGTCATCCGGATCTAGATTTGGTTTCTTTAACAAGGGAGAAACCAGGCCAGATTTGAGGTTGGACGGAAAACACCCCGAAGAGAAGGAGGCATTTGCGATGTTCCTGATCATGATGGCGAGTTCCGGAGCACATTGCTTGAACAAGGAACCTGGGAGCACGTCGAGTGGAGATGACTTCAAATGAAGTGATTCAATTAAAGCGAAAACGTCTTTTGTAGACACAGGCTTTAGCATAGTTAGACGAGTGTCTGGGTTAGTGCTTACAATTTTAGGTACCATGAGCGGGGTACAATGGTGCAATGTGTCAGTAGACGTGCACGAGTTTGCGACGGCGATTAGCTTGTTGTTGAAGTAAGTATTAAAAGAGGTGGCAAGTTTCAGTGAGGCAAGGGGATCGCTAAGGTGAGGGACCGTAGTGCTACCAGGATGGAGAAGATCTTTGAGGGTTTTCCATAGAATGCGCGGGTTTCCGGTTGCTTTTTTGATGCGTTCCTCAATGTGGGAGGAACGTGAGACAAGGATCAGTTTGTTAGTTTTCCTGCAGGCGACTCTGTAAGCAAGTCGATCAGCAGGTAGACCACTGCGGGATGCGATACGTTCAAGGCGCCTCCTGGTTCGCTTAGCAATGATGGCATCTCTTGAGAGCCAGTGAGTGTCGTGAGAAGACTGCCTAGTGGTTCGTGATTTTAATGGAGCTAGTTTGTCCAGCGCCGCCCTCATGTCAGCTTCTAGTTGGAGAGCGCAGACGGTTGGATCCGATGATGGGGATAACATTGAAAGCGAGTTTGCAAGGAGGTGACGAAAAGCAGGAAATGCGATGCCCTTGAAATTACGCAAGTTGCGGGTGAATTTGATGGTGATTGGCTTGGGAAATTGGAGGGAAGAAAGTATGAGGCGGTGGTCGGAGTAACCAGTTTGGAAAACTCCCAGTGCAGTGATGCGTCGGTGCTGGTTAGGTTCCAGAACCAGGTCGAGCATGCTCTCAACGTTTGTTGATGAAGCTCTAGTGGGGCCTGAGTTTGTGATGACCAGGTTATGGCAGGCCAAAGTTGACTCAAGGTGACTATCGATGGAGGCTGGGATATTGCCGGGGCAATTAAAGTCACCTGTAAGCACGAGCCTGTGAGATGGGTTAGGAATCAGATATAGGAATTCCGAAAGCTCGTTTACGAAGGTGTTGATGCTGCCATCTGGAGGGCGATAGATGGAAATGATGGAAAAGCACTCGTTGTTAGTAGTAAGGGATACAGACTGGACCTCGATGTGGCCTGAGCCATTGGTAGATGGAGCTCTTTAATTTTCAAGTGAGCATTGTAAACGACCGCTAAGCCACCACCCCGCTGGTTAGTTGCGCGAGGTTTATGTAGAACCTTGTATCCTGGGGGCGCAACTTCCAGAGAGATAGCTGGCGGGGAGTCTTGCCTGCACCAAGTCTCAGTGATGAGCAAAAGGTCGATGTGGTGGTCCGAGATGGTGTCGTGAATCAGGGCTGATTTATTGGTGATGGAGCGTGCGTTGAGCAGGCCGAGGCGGATATGTGAAGGTAGATGTGAAGATCCGTGCAGGTGAGGCGTCAAGGGAACAGAGGAGTTGGCTGGTTCGAGGACGACCTGTGAACGGCGGCCCCTACCACCTCTGCAACCACGGTGCCGATGCAGTCTCCGACGTTGGCCTCGGAGAAGCCCAAGGACAGAGAGCGTCCTCAGGAGCGTGGGTTGCAGGTGCAGATGATGAAGAGATGGTGCATGTCGTAGCCCTATTATATCAGCCCGTGCTGCAACGATGGTGCGGATGAAGGGGCCCGGATTCGGGTGTACTCCAATCAGCGGCTCTGCTGCCCTGAGCAGCAAGTCGAGGTGTCGTTGTCCAAGCTCCACGCTGTCAGCAAGCACTTCCTCGTACGTAGCGGATGCAAACACGCCCGTGTAAACACTCGTTGAGGGCGTACACGGGCGTACAGAACCACGCAGGCGGGGCGTACAATGGAGCAGCCAGAAGAACACGAAGTCCAGTGGATTAGCTGACCACGCTCTGTGCTCCAGCTCGCAGGTGGTGCAGCAGGATGGACGTACCTCACAGAGCTCCCGTTCACTGGTGGTGCTGGGCAGTAGGCAAGCCAACTCTCTCGTGTTGAGGAGATGACAGGCTGCTTCGCGTTCCCACTCGCTGATGGTGGTGAACGTTGGACGGAGCACGTAGATCCCCCACTTGCTGGCGATGCTGGGGCACGCCAAGCTCACAGTCGCTGATGGTACCGGAAGAGGTGCCTTGTGAGGACGTTGCTGGTAGAAACCGTGCCCGGGGCGGATGTTAAGCCGCGCCGCATGAACAATACAGCCAGCGTCCTCCAGCTTCGTGAATCGAAGCAACAGGCCTCGTTTACTCGCACTGCCCAACAGCTGTGCAATGCGGCAGTTAAGGCGAGTTGTGTGGCACTGCAGTAAACGGCATTTGTCGGCAGTTGTAGCGCCGCGAGGCGTGTGCAGTGAACACGGAGGCTGGCAGGGTTGGGTGCAGGGATCTGCCGCCACCCAAAACTCGGGCGACGCCAAAGTAATAATGAAAATAATGAAACAAAATAAATTATATGAAGAATGTAATGGAAGATGAAAGTAAGAAGAGTGGTGGTGAGTGAAGAAGGACGTGGGTAAGGTACGAGGTGTGGTTACGTTGATAAACTGTGAGAGCGATCCGGGACTGCAGCCAGCTGCGGCGCTGTCGCCATCTTGCAAGAGTGATAATAGAGATGTCGCGTGTAATTATGTGTATCCTGAGTGGAGGCGAGTGCATGACGTGTGATGTCGCGAGATGACATCGCATATCATGATGTTATTCTGGGGGCATACATGGCATCTGATTTCATCGCATTGGCTCAGAAGGGTTTCCATTGCTGATTGTTGTTTTGTCACCAAGTCTTGGTAACCCTTCGAACAGTAAGTTTCTTATAACAACAACTTTTACTGGACATCTGTGCAAAAGAGCTTTATAGCTCATCAGATTCCTCCAGTATAAATAAATATGATTTACACTCACGTTTAATTTATACCAGATGGTATGTACGTTGTTATCGTGACCCAATGCTACATGTTAAAGGCACGCAGATAGACCGAAATCAGGAGCTAATGTATGACTGCTTTCAACCGTAGTTGTAAAGGGCATAAAAAATGTAATTTTAGATATTAAATTATTTCCTACACATCTAATGATGGTCAGATCTCACTTGCAAAATGTTTAAAATGTGCTGATTTAGCCTAGGCGATTTAAGGTGAATGTTTTTGTCTGAGCAATGAGCCATCGTCACTGCGGTCCTGGCTTCTAATAGATAGAAACTATTGCAGTTTAAACTGGATTCTTTTGAGATTCAATGACTGAAAAAAAATCCCATAGATACCGATGGAACATTTAATTTATCGTGGTGTAGCTCTGAGGCTTATATTTGAACAGGAATAGAAAAAAAAGATGTAGTCTTGTTGTGCAAACTGTGAGACATTTTATAGTAATGCGTTTGTTTCACCAGGACATATGGCGTTGTTATCCAGTGGGATCTGTCTCCAGCTGTACGATGGAAGTCTGGTGAAAAACAATCCCAACCATTATTTATAAGAGCTGAATTTAATAGAATATCCTCTCTCCTGGGAAAATATGTAAAGTAACGACGAGATAATTTGCATGGGTGTTTTAGCATTCAAGCATAGACGATTACCATATTCGCCATTCTTGAATGCATTCTGTAGTTTAGCATGGCTGCGCTGAACTGCAAGGCTTAAACACAATGACTACTGTGCATAACACCCTCGGCAATCTCGCTGTCATTGCATTTGTCGCAGAGGAGTTTGACAAATACTGCGATGAGGTGGAGAAGACTGCAGCATGGGGAGGCCAACTGGAGGTAAGAGGCCGCGACACACACCACGTGTGTGTGTGACACACACACCAACGTGCGTGTGTGTGTGTGCTGGGGTATGTATGGACAAAGGCGGCCGGGCGTGGTGCTGGCCACCCGCCCTCTCGTGTGCTGTGCTGGCCTTCATAGGTGCTCGCTAACAGCACTTTCCCCAATAGTCTGTTACAGACTTTCAGGGGGAACTTTGTCTTTGTTTATATGGACATATCTGAGTGTGTGGGTATGTGATGGTATGTGTGTTTGGTTTTACTGCGCTAAACCAAACATTTTTGGGCAAGCCTGCATGGCTGCTCACTAATAGCTCACTAATAGCTCCTTGGTCTGACAATACAAGCGACTAAGAGGGGAGTTTTGTATTTATGGGACCATAAAGTGCGGTTCCTTCAACGATTGAGCCATTATATGCGGGTGCAGGAGTGATGATGTTCCACTTGTGTGTATGTGGTGCTGCGCAACCAGCTAAGGGCCCTGTCTCATGCATTGGAGACGCCCCTGGAGGTGGTGCAGGCGAGCGCTCCTCCCATCACCATCGGGGACGAGTACCACGTTCCGCCCATCACACTCATGTAGGCTCACACCGACAGCACCCACGTGGCCAGCGCTACCCACACAATAGAACTGAATAATGTGGACATGTCATTTAGACCACTAACTCAAAGAGTTGAGAAGATGTGGCCATCCCAACAGGCAGCAGCGCTGAGAGCTTTTGTACATACACAGCACACCTTTGTGTGTTGTTAAATTCCTTTACTCCAAGCTGCATTGATGTTTCTGTTGCAATCGGTTTTCTCATCATTTGCATATTTCCAAATGAAGCAATGACCCTTGCCAACATGAGCCGATGCTGCCGCTGTCACCCCCCCACTCCACAGCTACATGCGCCACGCCTACGGCCTGGGGGAGCACTACGACTCTGTGGAACCCATCCCCGAGGGGGGCGGCGCAGAGGGAGGAGGAGAGGACGGAGAGAGCGGTCGCTGAGAACCTCCCCGGCAGGAGAGAGCCAGCGCCGTCAAACTCCTCGTTTGGAATTCCAAGCGGCCACTACGATTTACATCCTGCAAGTGTGTCGTGATGTTCGTGGTCTGCTTAGCTCGGTCACCAGTGAATGCACGAGAACGGGCGTTGTAAAAACTTGCTTTGGCATGGAATTCAGACGCGTTTACTCCAAAAGGCGTATGTGTCAAATGGGCATGGCATGAAACACCCACGCATTTGCACAGCTAAAGACAGAGGTGTGGTGGTTGTGGAAAATAGACTATTGGAGAATTTCAACCGGAATGTTGTCAATTGAGTTGTTCAGATTGTAATGTGTGACTCTTAACAGTTGTGGGGATAACATGCTTTGCTTTGCCTAGTTGGCAAAAGGCAAGATTGAAAATGTAAAATAAATGCGATACCAGGATGTATTCTTGTAAAATTGCACTGGATCGCTCTCGCGAAAAATATTGCGGTAAATTTGCACAGTGCATTCTGGGTTGAGCAGCATTGTTAAGGGTAGCAAAAATCAGGAGTTGAGCAGTTCATGGGAGGCAAACGGCTTCAGTATTACATGGTGGCATTCCTGCAGAAACTACCTGTGCTGCTGATAATGTAGTCCAGTGTTCTTCACTAATTTTCAGAGGGGGGGGGGGAAATTTTGACATCAGTGTGAGCACCGACCGTCACACATTTCCAACTATTGGGGGTTTGACAGCACTATGATTGATGGGGGGTGTTTTCACAATTGTGTATTGTCGGGGGTCGCACGTCAGGGGCCGCACTTAAGGCCACCAGGGGCCACCAGGGGCCACCAGTGGCCCGCAGGCCTTGTAATGAGGACCACTGATGTATCAGAATCTTTATTTATACTGGAGCAATCCAATGAGCTATGCAACTATTTTTCACAGATGTCCAATAGTCACAGATGTCCAAATGTAGTTGGTGGATGCAGCCATTGCTGTTCTCGGTTGATAACGTTGCTTGCATGGGGAAGAGCGCCCATCGTGGGTGGTAGGGGCATCGTAAAGCCTGCGCTAATCATCGTAGAGCCTTCCTCAATTTAACCGCTGAACTTCTCCCTTCACTATTTTTAGTACAATTCGTTGTTTACAATCTGCACTTTGTCACGTCCCCATAAGTTAAAATTAAATATTTTGCAATTTCTTAGAATTTTGTGTTTACAATCGTTATGTATTCATTGGGTCTTTCGGTAAAGCCACGTAGATCGAAAAATTTTCAAAAATATCACGACGTTTCGATCGCAACACAAGCCATCGTCATCAGGTGATGACGATGGCTTGTGTTGCGATCGTGACTTTACCGAAAGACCCAATTAATATGAATTCCTGCAGTCACGAAAGCTTAAAGTCAGGATTTAATTGCGACTTTCTTAACTACCAGGTGGTTCCCGTGGCATTTCCATTTTTAAAATCGTCTCGGCATTAAAGTGACTCCCAAGAATCCCAAGGCTGCCATACTTCTGGCTCTCCAAGCCTCTGGCTTTAAAACTGAACCCTTTAAGTCCTGAAGGGGACTTGGTCTGACTCTTCGTGTGCTGTGTCTCCTGCTATATATGTATATGTGGGTCCGATGCAAACGGCTTACTCGTTTATATGTAAAATGTAAACGTGACACCAACGTGGAATTTAAACTGTCACATGGAAACATCTGCTGTACATGCATCGGTATGTCACAACATCACACCTGCCATTCCAGTGACAGGCGCAGCTCAGAATCAGAATCTTTTTTTAGACTGGAGGAATCTCTATATTTTAAGCAATTTATTTGCCGAATGCCATAATTCAGGGGTCCCCAACCCCCGGGCCGCGGACCGGTACCGCTCCGTGACCTGTTAGGAACCGCTCCGTGCCCTGTTAGGAACCGGGCCGCACAGCAGGAGGTGAGAGCGGTGAGTCCGCGCGGGGCCCGCCCCCATTATTTTATTATTTACCACTTCCATCCGCGCCTCTTTCCCGCACTGCGTACTCGTCTCAGTCACAGTTTTGGTTCGCCCGCAAGCTCTAACCCCTAGTAGCCACAATGAGTAATAAACAAACGTCGCTGGAGAACTTCTTTGAAAAGGGGGAAAGACCCCGTGATGAACCCCCCCCCCCCCCCCGGGTCCATGAAAAAATTGTCTTCCACGAAACTGGTCCCTGGTGCCGAAAAGGTTGGGGACCGCTGCCATGACTAACACTTAACATGCACTTCCTCAGTGGCCCAGTGCTCTTACTGTACTGGCACTATCTTGTGAGAGTATATTTATCTGTTGAAACCGTTGATATTGGCACATGTTTCTAATTACTCAATTGGAATCTACATAGCAATCATTATCCCTTACTGCGACAACTTGGCAGGATCTTGATTCGAAAGAGTCACAAGACTCGGGGGCCTTCTTGGATCTTCAAGCATAATAATAACGTTTAAAAAATAATCTCTGAACATCAGAAAGTGAATGGACACAACCAAACAAAGGTGTCCTATCGGCCGATATCTCCACGCATAGCTCTCAACTCGCGACACATCGGAACTGAAAGATATCCCGTCACAAACCAACTTTTGATAGTTTTTACCCAAATAGATGTTTTTTCATGTGGTAAGTCGAAAGATAGCGCGCCGTGTGTATTCCAAGCATACGCACGCATCCCATGCAGCCTTTGAAAACCCGCATCCTTTATCGGCTTGATCTCTGTGTAGCTGCACTTGACTGGTATGTGACGGCCTCTTTGTTCTTTTGTCCTGCAAAGAAATACAGCGCTCACGTGGGTGTGCTGGGGCATGTCCAACTGACTGCACTGAGATCAAGGCGATCTATCTGTGTCCCAGGGCGCTGCTGCCCATGTAAGATCCCTCGGTGAGCATTGCTCAGAACCTGGGTTCAAACCCCGACGCCCAATAGAAAGCGTAAACTACTACTCACGTTTGGTAGTCTTGGTTCCGTCACCTGTGGATGTTTTTTTTTATATCCGTGCCCCATGATTGGCGTCTACTTCTTTACAACAGGACACTCCATAATAAATGTGTCGTGAAACCCACCACCACCCGACACAGGCAATTGGTAAGGTAGTTACCGGCAAAATGTCACGGTACTCGAATTGCAAATGTTCTGGGTTTACTCTCCAACACACCGATGTGCCGAACTATTAATGAACTGGCATGTTTTGTTTACGTGACAAATCTTACTAATTAGCTGTGTCGGGTGGTGGCAGGTTCAACAACACATTTCTCTTCACGCAACCCAAAAAATCTCTTATGGATTATATTGGTTGAGAAAGCCTACTACGTGTTAAACAGGACACTGGCAACTTTGGCAATCATGAAATCAGATGACTGCTGCTCAACATAGAACACTCATCTCTCATCCAAGTCCCTGGATGTTGGCGTTTATGGTCTGTGTCAAAAAGTTATCTTGATCTCTCTTGAATGTAGATGTTGCCCTGTGTTTCTGTATGAAATGTGGTTTGCTGAAACAGGAATCAAACTTGTTTGGTTTGTACTTTATTTTGTCTCGTCCACCTCTTGTGTCTATGTATACCCCTCTGATTCTATACACACACGCACATCTTGAGACTATAGACACAACAGAGTGGAGTACTGTGTGTGATCGTGGAGGGTTTAGTCTCTTGAAGTAAGGAACTGCCGTAGAAGTTAGTTGACCCAAAAGGGAGCACCCATCAGAGACTGAGTTGACAATTTTTCATGTATGTACAGGTTGTTTTAAAAAGATGGACCCGATTTGAAATCGCTATATTTCTGCAACCACGAACCGCCCATGAATGAAACTCCCTACCACTTGAAAGGGCGGGGCATAGAGAGCGCGGGGCATAGACTTTCAAATGATGACCGCGAGATGCCTCTCCCAGCGCACAAACAGCCCCTAGCCTCAGTAATTCGCAAGACGATGGCCCCGCAACACAAGGGACGTTTTGCGTTCTGCAGTTCAGCAAGACAATCCGTAATTGCGGTGAAGCGTGCGTTTCAATGACGTTTTGGCATTGATCCGCCAATGTCAAAGAGCATTCATCGTTGGTACCGACAATTTGAGGAAACAGGCTGTGTATGTGAGCACAGGGCGACTATGCACCTCAGAGGAAAAGGTAAGAGAGGCGTTTGGGACGAATTCAACTATTATCTCGATGTTGTCCATACAGCAGGTGGAGGGCACATAGAGCATTTATAAAATGGTTAGTAAAACTTGATAACTCATTAAACCGTTTGTAACTTTTTGTGTAATTGTAACATGTTGCCATCGTGAAATATACTGCTTTGAAATTGTGTCCCTATATTTGAAACACCCTGTATTTTGAACTTCTTTCGCACCGTACGTAGCCAACGTCCGAATCGGCCACTCTCTCCTTGGGATGACTCGTGATTATTTCCCAAACACAGGTAATTATGTAATTTGGGGTGGTGATAAAGCCTCGCGGTAGTGTGTTCCCGCTTCTTTACAGAGGTTCACCGTTCGAATCCAGCGGCCACCCTGCTTTAATACTGCGGGTCTAGTAGCCAGACCAACGCACACAGTCAGCTTCACAGTGGACGTCAAAGGTGCTGTGATGTCCTTCGAGTGAGCAGTCCGATCTGTGCCTGGTGTCACGGTCCAAATTTTATTTTTAATTTCCTGCAAATTACTAAATTAGAAAATACAAAGCAGCCGTCACCCACGACTGCGAGACCTCGAAAGAACCCTCCTGAAGGAGAAGTCACGAGACTCGGTGATATTTTCCTGGATAAACAAGCGTAGTAGTAGTAATAATCATCAGAATCGGAAACATCTAGTCAACCCCTGGGATGTGGTGCGCGCGCTTTTGATGGTTGGCCGGGGCCCTGCCATGCTGCCGCTGCTATTAAGCCGCATGAATGATTACATTAAATAATGCAAATACACCGCGAGTAAGATGCCAAAACTAACCAATATTGATTTCTAGTTGTGAAACTGAATGATATTCGAAGCTTGAATAAACACTATTCTTGCAATATTTAATAAACAAGGGCTGTGAAGTGTTTATTTATACATAATGGAAATTTGCTCTACGCGTATTCTGACGCTGCCGACTTTTCTCTCTCCGCAAGCCACGTTCCCCATGTTGACTACAATACGAGATCCGGCTCTTACAATCCAAATCACTTTTTAGTTGTTTTGGGTAAGAATTTCCAAAACAGCTCCCCTCCCACCCCCACTTCCCTACCACACAGTCGTCGGGTTTCACCGCGCTCAGCCCAGCTCGCAACCTGCAAGGATACAATTTTAAATTCTCCAGGGTTGATAAAATCAGTACAGCTACCTCTCGGTTTGTGTTCTTGAAAAACGGCGCGTACCTCAAAATTGTGTAAATAAAAAAAATTCCTGTAAGAAATCAAGGAAATGGTTGGTGTTAGTGAGAGTATGTTGTCGAACTTCATTTTTACGTCCACATCTTTCACTGGTTACGATACATTGTATTTACAATACTACCGTACATATATGAAAGGTAGTAACAGCCTATTTAAAGAAAAAAAGTTAAACAGATTTTTAACGGGTTGTGAGATGCTTGAGTGTGGCACACTCGGGCTGATGGAAAGGGAGGAGGAGAGAGTGGCACAAGAAGGAAATGCTGCTGCTGCTGCTGCTACTGCTGCTGCTGCTTCTGCTGCTACTGCTGCTACTGCTGCTGCTACTGCTGCTGCTACTGCTGCTGCTGCTACTGCTGCTGCTACTGCTGCTACTGCTGCTACTGCTGCTGCTACTGCTGCTACTGCTGCTGCTGCTACTGCTACTGCTGCTACTGCTACTGCTGCTACTACTGCTGCTGCTACTGCTGCTACTGCTGCTACTGCTGCTGCTGCTACTGCTGCTGCTACTGCTGCTGCTGCTACTGCTGCTACTGCTGCTGCTACTGCTGCTACTGCTGCTACTGCTGCTGCTGCTACTGCTGCTACTGCTGCTGCTGCTACTGCTGCTGCTACTGCTGCTGCTACTGCTGCTACTGCTGCCCGTGCTTGTGGTGGTTGTCAGTACTGCTGCACCTCAGGGAACATCGCTACTGAACGTTGCTGCCCTGACTAACGATGAGCTCGCAGCGCGTTCCGCACACCGTGACCGACTCGCTGGAGCGCTTTACTTCAACAAAAATGAGTGCAAGTTAGTTGAGCGCGCTATTGCAAAGTCGCGTTGCGTAACACGCGAGGCAACGGTGCCAGTTTGCAATAAGTCAAGAAGGGTCGTCTTATGGACTGCTCCCTGCCAATATGAAACTGGTCTACAGCCAAAATGCTTCCGAAATAAATGTAGTCCAACTTTACTAATTCTGGGTCACTGAGAATGAAAATGATGCTTAAAATTGTCGATTGGCTCTAGTTTTTAAGATATGCTACTGGGCCAGTATATACGGCCCTTGACTTGGGAATGGCGGAGGTTAAGTGAGTTTTGACTTAAAGCTTTCGTGACTGCAGGAATTAATATTCTTTGGGTCTTTCGGTAAGCCACGTAGATAGACAAAATAATAGAAATATCACAACGTTTCGATCGCAACATAAGCAATCGTCATCAGGTGAAAAAATAGCGAGAGAGCTGCTGAGGCAGGATGTTATAAAGGTTTGAGATGGGTGTTGCCCAAGGGTCATAAACTCCAGACTGTAGCAGTGGAATCTCCTGGTAGGTGATGTTAGTGTTTCCATGTTGCGTGACCGTCAAAAGGATCTTGTCCCATTCTTTATTATGGAAGGTAATCTTGTAGCCTGCTACAACATCCATGGTGTAATGGCAGCCCTCAACATCGTTCATGATCCAGATGAGTGGAGACTGTTCATTGATTCATCGAAGATGAGTCAAAGCTGCTTTGCTGCATAATGGCAATGTTTTGCCATCAATTCCAGTTGGTCATGCAGTCCATATGAAGGAAAACTATTACAACATGAAACAACTTTTGAGGTGCATAAACTATGACCAACATGAGTGGCAGCTTTGTGGCGATTTGAAGGTTGTTGCTCTCTTGCTTGGTATACAGACTGGACACACAAAGTACTGCTGTGTTATTCTTTGGTTTTTTCGGTAAAGTCACGTATAAAAATAATTCCTGCAGTCAAGAAAGCTCCAAAATTAAGATTACTGCTGTGTTCTCTGCGAATGGGATAGTCGTGCGAGAGATTCCCACTACATCAAGATAGATTGGCCACTCCGACAGTGATTGCAGCCTGTGAGGAAAAGTGTTCAGCATCCACTACTTGTTGAATCAAGGAAAATGTTGTTACCACCCTTACACACCAAGCTGGGTCTGATGAAGAACTTTGTCAAAGCCATGGACAAAACACAAGCAGCTTTCAAGTACCTCCGTGGAAAATTTCCAAGGTTAAGTGAAGCTAAGATAAAGGAAGGTGTCTTTGTTGGTACTCAGATTCGTGAACTTCTTCGAGATGATGCATTTGACAGTGCACTGCGTGGCAAGGAAAAGACGGCATGGAAAGCCTTCCAGTTAGTGGCAAGAAATTTTCTCGGAAACAAGGCAGACAACTACAGGGAATTGGTGGAAAACCTCAAAGCATTCAAAAGCATTGGTTGCAACATGTCACTAAAGATACATTTTTTGCACTTTCATCGAGATTGTCTCCCACCGAACTGCCGAGCAGTGAGCGACGAGCATGGCGAGTGATTTCACCAGGACATTGCGACGATGGAGAAACTCTATCAGGGCAGACTATTGCTGGACAGTGACAAGAGATGCTCCATTTAATGAATACAAGAGACAAGCCAAGAAGCGCCGAGTAGACACTGAATAAGGACTAAACTATGTACTTAGGTTTACAATTTATTAGTTAAACTCTACTATCTACACAATATACATAGACATAAAATATTTTTTTTAAAAACCTTTAATATCTTGGGAACAGTAGCCAATCAATTGTTTTAATTGTCATATTTGAATTCAGCACATCAAAATCAATAATAAACAGCACATTTCATCTCTGAAGCAGACGACGTCTAAAACATTGTAGGCCAGTGTGATAGGGAATTTCTGTCACTGGCACTGAACTATCAAGAGAGTTGAGCACTGCAGTTTTGGCCTTTGAAGCAAGGAGACTCTGGCTTGTCCTGTACCATGAGGGGGCTCTATTTTTGTATGAAATATTCACTTGTCTCTAAACTATGCTTGCGTAGTCGTTGGTTAGTATAGCACGGTGCTGTGTGACCCGTCATGTATAGTCTGCTCAAATGTGAATAACAAACAGGCATTTGGTACAAACGGACTCGCCACAACATTCTTTTCCAGGAAATGAGTGCAATGGAAAAATGAGCACACATTGTGAATTCTAATCCCTTTTGAGTGTTTGGGTTGTAGATGCTTGCACTTGGCAAACAGGAACAGATTAGACCAAAGACAAAACATAATATTTGTAGGCCTTAAATTCCAGCTCTATATTTGTTGATGAATAGAAAAGAGATGCCTGTGTTTAATTTGTCACTGCATTTCCTCTACCCACCTTCCAGCCTACGGTGAATCCCCTGCTAGACGAAGGCCTCCCCCATGCTCCGTGGGGGTTGTGTAACCATACTTCGCCACGTCGGTCAGCGCAGGATGGTGAAGTGGAGAGGTTGTATAACCATACTTCACCACGTTGGTCAGCGCAGGCTGGTGAAGTGGAGAGGTTGTGTAACCATACTTCACCACGTCGGTCAGCGCAGGCTGGTGAAGTGGAGAGGGGGTTGTGTAACCATACTTCACCACGTCGGTCAGCGCAGGCTGGTGAAGTGGAGAGGGGGTTCAAGACGGGTTTTGATTTCCAATCCACGGCTAACGTCAGTCGCAAGTGATGTTGCGTTAGCCGTGGAGTGGGAATCAAACTCGGGGCAGTGTGCTAACCTCTTGCTCGGGGCAGTGTGCTAACCTCTTGCTCGGGGCAGTGTGCTAACCTCTTGCTCGGGGCAGTGTGCTAACCACTTGCTCGGGGCAGTGTGCTAACCACTTGCTCGGGGCAGTGTGCTAACCTCTTGCTCGGGGCAGTGTGCTAACCTCTTGCTCGGGGCAGTGTGCTAACCTCTTGCTCGGGGCAGTGTGCTAACCACTTGCTCGGGGCAGTGTGCTAACCACTTGCTCGGGGCAGTGTGCTAACCACTTGCTCGGGGCAGTGTGCTAACCACTTGCTCGGGGCAGTGTGCTAACCACTTGCTCGGGGCAGTGTGCTAACGTCTTGCTCGGGGCAGTGTGCTAACGTCTTGCTCGGGGCAGTGTGCTAACCACTTGCTCGGGGCAGTGTGCTAACCACTTGCTCGGGGCAGTGTGCTAACCACTTGCTCGGGGCAGTGTGCTAACGTCTTGCTCGGGGCAGTGTGCTAACCACTTGCTCGAGGCAGTGTGCTAACCTCTTGCTCGGGGCAGTGTGCTAACCACTTGCTCCCTCCTCTCACCAGTTCACCTGTGAGCAACAGTTCGGCCAGCAGATGCCACTGTGACCTTTGCTTGTGTCGTTTGCAGCTCCACCTATGTATGCCTTGGATTTATCTATAAGTTTTTCTAAATGCTGAATTATTTAAATGCAGCATTGGCAGAACACTCCCCCCACCCCAAGGTAGAACCTTCCTGATAATGAGTGTTAAGTTGGACTTTCATTGGAATTAATCCATAATCTATAATCATTTGCCTGTGACCACATTACCCGGAATGTGTCAACACTCAGAAATTACGCAGAGTAAAGCCTGGATAGTGCTTGGATGTGCGACCACCGTGCAGAAAACCCAGGTGCTATAGGCTGCTTCTGGGCTATATAGCGGGCACTGCAGGTAAGTCAGTTGTACTGCACTGCTCTGCTGCCACGGCCGTGCACCCAACCTTCACGACGCACACTGAACAGGGTGGTGGTGACTTGCAGTAAAATAACCCCCAAGTTTCGCACGAGATGGTGAGGCCCTCATTCAGCAGTGGGTTGGTTAGGAAACACGCGCCATCGTCAACGTGATCATGCGGGTGGGAGCCCGGGATTCAAACCCAGGAGTTTGGAATTAACTTCCCCGGGCCATTCGTTTTCCTTCCTCAGTGCTCACTCCCAAATATTCATAAGCAAACACACCTCCGATTAGCATGGTTGGCTACGTACGGTGCAAAAGAAGTTCAACATACATACAAAGGCAAAGATTCCCCGTTTAAACTTTAACGGACTGTTGGAACAAGTGCTGTTAGCGAGCACCTACGAAGGCCGGCACGGTACACGAGGGGGTGGGTGGCCAGCATCACATCCAGCCGCCTTTGTCTGCCTAGTGGCGATCTTTACACAACGCACCAGGTACTCATTTGAGGCTAAGTCGACCTAGGGGAGGCCCAGGACCGGTTCACATAATCGTTACTGGTGTTGGCCTTGAGCGTGAATCGAACT